TAAACTGTTGTATTCTGAGCACCTCTGCAAAAACAGTGATAATGTGTGAGTGTGGTGAAAGTGTTGAATGATGATGAAAGTATTTTCTTTTGGGGGATTTTCTTTCTTTTTTTTGGATCACCCTGCCTCGGTGGGAGACGGCCTACTTGTTTACCTGGAGAGAGTTCCAGGGGTCAACGCCCCCGCGGCCCAGTCTGTGACCAGAGAAAAAAAAAGAAAAAATGTATTATTGTAATAATAATTATTATTATTAGGGCACTGGAGCACAGATCCACTGTATAGCACTTTGTCTGGATTTTTTGGGTTATCCTAGGTAATTTATACTATTTATGATTACTTACGTGTACCAGTGAGAGAGAGAGAGAGAGAGAGAGATAGATAGATAGATATGTATATAGAGAGATATAGAGATACAGAGAGAGAGAGACAGTCACATTCAGTCAGTCAGTCAGCCAACCACCCACCCACCCACCCGGATACGTATTACACATGTTTCAGAGTTGTTTCTTTTTTACTTAGGGCATAGGTTATACTACATTCTGGCAGAATGACACTCCCAGTGGTATTCTCCCATTCCACTGTGTCGACAATACATAAAGATAACAGCAACATATGATACTGTATGCGATGTAAAATTTACAATACATTTCACTACCATGTATACATTATATACGGTACATAAATACACCTACCATCCGACTTAAGACCAAGCTTGGTTTCGACCAACCAGTCGTAAGTCGAAATGGACGTAAGTCGAACCTTTGAAAATTGCCGACATATTGGGTAGGGTATAATGTCAAAACTTTCCTATGTAAACTACCTACATAATACTGTAATGTAATGTACAATCATTATTTCATTCTTTTTACCATAATTTACTTCTATTGTTGTATTTTAATTATTTATGTACTGTATATAATGTATACATGGTAGTGATATGTATTGTAAATTTTACATTGCATACAGTATCATATGTTACTATTATCTTTATGTATTGTCGACATAGTGGAATGGGAGAATACCACTGGTAGTGTCATCCTGCCAGAATGTTGTGTAACCTATACCCTAAGTAAAGAGAAACAACTCTGGAACATGTGTAATACGTATCCGGCTGGCTGGCTGGGTGGCCGGGTCTGTGGTTGGCCGGGTGGGTGGCTGGCTGGCTGGATGGGTGGGTGGCCGGCTGGGTGGGTGGCTGGATGGCTGGGTGGGTGGCTGGGTGGCTGGCTGGATGGGTGGGTGGGTGGCTGGATGACCGAATGTGGCTGTCTCTTTGTATCTCTCTCTCTGTATCTCACTTGTACACCTAAGTCAAGTTAACATACATATTATAAATTACCTAGGATAACCCAAAAAATCCAGACAAAGTGCTATACAGTGGATCTGTGCTCCAGTGCCCTAAGTTAATAATAATATTAATAATCATTATTATTACAATAATACATATGTAATAATATTATTATTATTATTATTAAGCTATAATATAACAATCGTGTCCACTCATTACTTACCTTAAAATATCTGTAATTTTAATGTAGAGTGAGAGGTAAGTAAACAAGATTAAATGAATAAATGAGAGAGAGAATGAGAATGTAGAATGTTCACGAGTTATGTAAGCAAATGTTGTTGTTGTTGTAACCAGCCCGGACACGAATGATTCCTGTTTACTGTCAAGCCGACCAGAAAAACATCTCATATTTGTTAATTTATATGTTATGTAGCATGTTTATTATATAATTTTGAAAAAAAATCATAGATGGATTAAGCAAAATGTCTATATTAACATTTTATACACATTTAATGTGCCTCAGTGATTATTATTGTTATTATCATTATTAATATGGCATCTTCAAGACCAAGTACACTCTTAATGAGTGGCTCTGAGACAGACAAGCAGACAAAGACAGACACACAGGTAGACAGAAAGACACACAGGTAGACAGAAAGACAGACACACAGGTAGACAGAAAGACAGACACACAGGTAGACAGAAAGACAGACACACTAGTAGACAGACAGATAAACAGACACACAGATACAGACAGGTTTCTGTGCAACAGTGAAAACAAATAGAGTTCGAGAGTAAGAGCCTTTCTTGCCACAATCTCCAGTGCAAGATTCAGACTTCATCTTAGGGGCCATGGTGAAATTTACTGTCCAGTTAGTACAGTTAATACAGTATGATGCTGCTGATACGGCAGGGTTACTCAAACTGATGCTGCCCGCATGACACATTGCTGTCGCAAGTATTGTCAAATATTGTACAGCGGTGTGCATCAGCCGGCCCAGCCCAGCTGCCAGATGCACGGTCGTAAGTCGAGTGGACGTATGTCGAGCAGGTCGTAAGTCGGATGGTAGGTGTAATTAAAATATAACAACAGAAGTAAATTATGGTAAAAAGAATGAAATAATGATTGTACATTACATTACAGTACTATGTAGGTAGTTTATATAGGAAAGGTTTGACATTATGCTCTACCCAGTATGTCGGCAATTTTCAAAGGTTCGACTTATATCCATTTTGACTTAAGACTGGTTGGTCGGAACCAAGCTTGGTCGTAAGTCGGATGGTAGGTGTATTTGTTCAGGACTAAGGTTTTCGTCAGATATTGTCTTGGCAAATTCGTCAATGTATTTTTCAGCTGCTTCATGATCAGCAGAAGCTTTTTCACCACAGATTTTCAGACATTTTACACCATTACACTTAAATTTCTGCAGCCATCCATCTGAATATTGACACTCGCCCTCAATGTTCAGTTCTTCATGGTATATTCTAGTTTGTTTCATGACCAACAAACCAGTCAGTGGCATACGTTCACTTCGTTTTTTGCCCTTTGCAGTGTTTTCCTATTTTTCATTAGTTTTTGGTCATCACTGTCACTATAATATTTCAGTAACTTGTCTTTCTGTTTCTTTAAATCGTAGACAATGGTAGTTCCAACACCATATTTTTCAGTAAGATGCAGCACTGACACACCACAATCAAGCTTCTGTAGTAACTCTACTTTCTGCATTATTGATAACAACAGGTGCTTCCTTTTCTTTTTCTCACTGTTACCCATAGGTGTATCTGCAGCTCATTTTGACATTTTCACACTGAAATTAAACACAGTCACAAAATAAAAAGCAAAAATAAAATATCAGCGAACAGCAGACGCATGTGCGAACATAACTGATGCCTGCCACTCTGGCTGTCAGTGCTGGGTCATGCCACTACATGGCGGCATGACCCAGCACTGAGATGACTGACGCTCCACACTCCACAAAAAAACTTTGGTTTTCGGAACTTTTCGAATTTCATAATTTCGGGTAAAGGGATGTGGACCTGTACTTTTTTTTTACATTTAGTAATTTATGCTGGAGAAGGGGTTACTAGCCTCTTGCTTCTGGCATTTTAGTCACCCCTTACAACACTCACAACTCATTGAGGAAGGATTCTTTCCACTTTCCCATGGAGTAATATGTATATATATGCACATTGCTTATCAACAAAGAAAAACAGTTTGGTCATGTCTGTCAGAGAAGCGGTAGGTCATGTTACATACTGTACCTCCCACTGCTCCTCCCTCTCTTCACCAGAGATGGACCCATTGTTTAGTAGAGGCATAGTGGTGTTATACCCCCATTTTGTAAGTGCATAACATGCAGAACTAGGAAATTATCAAAATATCAAGAGAGATATCACATCATATTTTTGTTATTGTTCTGTTGAGGTATTGTGATGGCTCCTATATTGATAATTATTAGGTAAAAGAGTTGTGACTGCTTAAGGGTCATTACAACATTTTCCATGATGTTTTTCAACTTTTTTTCCTCTGCATTACTCCCTTGATAACTGTCATTACTAAAAGTTGTACCGAGCCACAGTCCCCCATTTTCTTATACACAACCTATACTTCTTACTTTATTCAGTTTACGGTAAAAGTTACCTCAGCTGAGCTTGCTAATGCTATTACCCATGTTCTAGATAAATGCATCCCATCCCTGACATGAATCTCAATCTTGCCATACAAAAAACTTTGGTTGTCAAGAAATGGTGCTGCAATTTCCTTGCGGTATTTGTTTACCCACCAATTAATACCAATTGCCATAGACATCCATTCACTGTCAACCTCTCTCTGTGGCAGAAAGCCACACATGATAGAGATCCCTTCTGTTGTCCTAATTATATCTATTGCCATTTTATGGCAAGCAGGTCCTCACTCCTATGCATCCTAACATTATTTCCTCCAGTGCTGAGACGGATAGTACAATTGTTTTCATTATCAGTCATGATGTTTCATACTCTGGTAAGTATATCCTCCATCTTTTTCCAAGGAAAGCACACCCTCTGCCTCCTTTTCCTATTCCTGTTGCAAAATGCCCTGCTCATAAATTTAATATGGGAATTGCCTCATACTAGAAAATTATCTTCACTAGTGGTTTTTTTTCTGTGTCCTTAATGAGCAAACCACATTTACATAGCAACATAGGAAAGGAATTGTCTTCGACATTTTTGTCATTCTCAGTTTTAATCCTATCTTGCTTGCCAGTTTCCATTTGTTGCCTCTGGTATTCTCTTCATTGTTTTTGGGATGAATCTTCTTGTTCTCTTTCCTAAGAAGTTATATAACCTTCATTGCATCCTCCAGCTCTGCCTTCACCTGAAAGCACAGTTCCTTGAAGTCCACAGAAGACATCTTTAACACTTAATGCCTTTTCACAAGACATAAGTTAACTTTAATTCTTAAATGTTGTTCTACTGTTCCTCATACTAGGGTGGATTTGTGTGTGTCATATATAAAAAAGTATAGATTTTGGGGGGCAAAAGAAAAGCAGTCAACTTATACACAAAGTCAAATGATATTTGAGTATAGGTGGTAATTTTTGTACTTAGTTTTGCTGTTTTTCTTGTCGTTCATATTTAACATGAAATAGGTCATCATTATTAAAATGCAGATTAGATTTTCATGAATCTTCTGAGACCAGTATACAAGTGATTTTTATCTTCCCAATATTAGTTGTGCGAGATGTTTGGGCAGCAGTGGAAAGCTTGTGGGCAGGATGGGTGGCACCTCTTGGGGGTCAGGATCGGCACTCCTTCCCAGCTTGGCTGCGTCATCTCACCCATAATATTAGGTTACTGCTTCCATGGGCCCCCAGCGACACTGCATCAGCTGATATAATGGTTGCTATGTTCTGTTCTTCACTGGAATTTATGCATGAACATTTACCAGGTATGTCCTAGTGTTTTACTTTCCTTTAGGTTCTGATGAGCCACTTAGAAATTCATCCCTTCTACCTTTATCAATCCTTGCACCAATATTAACCTCAGTACTACTTTAACTCAGTATGCTCAGTATACCATCATATTTTTTTTACAGATTTGTCTCTAGGATGTAATTTCATGTTATCCTTTTTAAACTGGTCAGTTCACCATTATAAATTTCCATCTTTGAGTTATCATCACTTTCCTGTCAGTTTGAACAAGTCTGGCCATTCTCTTCTGACTTCTCTCATTATCAAGGCATTTCCACCCACAGAGCTGCCACTTACTGGATGTTGTCTTTTTCACACCATTCTTTACAAACTCTGTAGACTGTTATGTGTGAAAATCCCAGCAGATCAGCAGTTTCTGAGATAGACAAACCACTCTGTCTGGCACCAACAATCATTCCACAGTCAAAGTCACTTAGATCACATTTCTTCCCCATTCTGATGTTTGGTCTGAATATCAACTGAACATCTTGACCATGTCTGCATGCTTTTAGGCATTGAGGTCCTGCCATGTGATTGGCTAATTAGATATTTGCATTAACCCTTTGACTGTTTCAGTCGTATATATACATCTTACGAGCCAATGTGTTTGACATATACAGTGGACCCCCGCCTTACGATCAGCTTCCAATGCGACCAATTATGTAAGTGTATTTATGTAAGTGCTTTTGTACGTGTATTTTTGGGGGTCTGAAACAGACTAATCTAATTCACAATATTCCTTATGGGAACAAATTCGTTCGGTAACGGCACCTGAACATACTTCTGGAATGAAATTATATCGTAAGGCGGGGTTCCACTGTATATACTCAAAAATTCTAGTGGCTTCCAGTCAAGCAGGAGAAAGCTGGTAGGCCCACATGTGAGAGAATGGGTCTGTGTGATCAGTGTGCACTGTATAAAAAAAATCCTGCAGCATGCAGTGCATAATGAAAAAAAAAACTCCGATTGTGTTTTTGGATTAAAATGCCGACTTTGAGGTGTATTTTCGTATAATTTTTATGGTTATATTCTCGTTTTATTGGTTTCATTTGATAGAATGGAAAACATATTATAGAAATAGAGGTGGTTTTGATTGGTTTTACTATGAAAAGGACCTTGAAATGGAGCTCAAAGTAGGGGAAATGTTTGATTTTTGCCAATGTTCAAGAGTAAACACATGACATCATTGTGCAATAAATGTCCAGCTAGTCATTCTAATATGCAGTCATGAATGGGTTGACATTATTTATACAATTATTACAATATTACATTAGTCTGCATAACAGTAAATCTTCTATTTTTTGTTTGAATAAAAATTCAAAATAGAAAGCAAGAGTAATATCAGAGGGGCCTGGAGACATAACTGATGAACAAAGAAAATGTTATTTTAGAGTCAGGAATATCTGGATTGTTCATTCTGGACCCTATTTTGAAATTGGCACATTTTTTAATTTGTGTGAAATTGACCAAATTGCCAAATTCTGACCACTTTATTGGGTAGTTGAAATTAGTAAATGGGCAGTTTCTTGTACTCAGTCGATAGAACAAATGAAGTTCTAAAGAAATAGTTATGAGTCGGGTCGACTGGAACAACGGAATTAGCCGAAAATAGGGCTCAAAGTGGGCAAAATTGCCGATTTGTAAATATTGCAGAGGTTGCTGACTTTGTGAGAGCATAATTCCATACGTTTTCCATCAAATTCCATACTTTTGGTGTCATTACCATCCGGAAAAGATTCTCTGTCATTCCATAAGATTTTTTTTTTTTTTCAAATATTTTGCGACACCAGGAGACACCTCAGGATTTGGGGTTGCAACAGTCAAAGGGTTAATGAACAGGTGTATGTGTGTATCTAATAAAGTGACTACTGAATGTATTTACAGGTATATCTGTATTTTTATTTCTTAATGCAATGAGCAACTTTGAAATTTTTGAAGCACAGTATGACAGTAATTTTTCATTTACAGTGATACCTCGAGTTATGAACTTAATTCGTCCCAGAAGGTTGTTCGTGTGCTGATACCAAATGAATTTGTCCCCACAAGGAATGATTTAAATTAGATTAGTCCGTTTCAGACCCCCAAAAATACACTTACAAAAACACTTACAAAAATATACCTAAATAATTGTTCGAGTTGGGAGCTGTTCGAAACTCGAGGTACCACTGTACATATATAGATTTTTTTTAGCACCTTGGCTGTCTCCCACCAAGGCAGGGTGACCCAAAAAAGAAAGAAACACTTTCACCATCATTCAGCACTTTTACCATATAATCATTCACATATAATCACTGTGTTTGCAGAGGTACTCAGATATGACAGTTTAGATGTCACTCCAAACATTAAATAGTTGTTTTACCTGACAGGTAGTTCAAGTGTGCTATCTTTAACATTGGAGTATTATAGTGCAACATATGCCATGAGAGAAGTGAAAAGTCATGTGTTAGTGGCAGTTCACTCCCATTTATCTGCTCTTCCTTGGCACCATTTGTCTCCTTCTCTCCAGGATACACTCATCTTCTCTAAGGTATGTTCACACACTTTTCTTGGTAAATTCTAATATTTCCCTCGCTAATTTTTATTTACATCCACATTACTGAGATGCTAATTTTTTTTCTTATTGCCTGACAATAAGAAAACCTCAAAATATCGAGAACGTGTTTTTTTTTATCATATTTGATATCTAGAAAGGGAATGCTCATTGTGACCAAAATAAAAAAAAATTCACATTCAATAATTGTTTTGCCAGAAGTGCACAGATGTCACAATTCTGAGCTCTGATATTAAAACCAATTCTTCAGAGTGTATACAATACACTTCCCATGCCTAAAACTCATCAGGCTAACTGCTTTTCCGCTGCAGTCTCTCTGTTAATGTTACCTTCCTCAAACTCTAACTGCATGCAAACTCCAGAAACTACCTGTCTAAACTCCAGTCTAACATGGTCACACACGCTTGCAGATTATTTAAGCCCCCCCCCCCTCTCTCTCTCTTTTTTTTTTTTTCACAGGGTTTGACAAGGTTAAGGATCCCTAGCTTTATTGACAAGCTATTTACAGGTTAAGGATTCCTAACTTTATTGGCAAGCTAAGAGCTGTTACCTACATCAGCTCATTTGAAAACATTTTTATTGTTATGAGACATACAAGTAGGGAGCAGGAAGAAGTTGGAGCCATCTGTGGGCCAGCATTTTCATTTGATCAACTGACTTTATCTCGTTGACATTATGCTGTACGAATGTGTTCCATACTTGAGTCATCCTGGGTATGTATGATCTCAGATGGAGTGATGTTCTGGAGAAGGGTACAGCCAGAGTGAAGTTGCTGCTTTCTGCCCGTCTTGTGGCATAAAAGCTTGTTTCACGCTGTCCTCGAAGTGAATCCAAGTGTGGTATTTTGACAATATTAGCCTTGTACATAACAGTAAGGCCACCCACATCCCTCCTACGTTGAAGGCTCTGCTGAAATGACAGATCTATCCAGGACGGGTCCAGGCGAGAGATGAGACGTCTTGCTCTGTTCTCTACTCTGTCAAGCAGTCGCAGATGAGAGGGAGGGCAGGCAAACCAAGAAAGTGGAGCATACTCAAGGTGTGAGCGTACTCGTGCCTCGTACAGGATCTTGCAACCCCTACTGTCAAGCAGATGTGAGATATGGCGAAGTGCTGTAAGCTTCCTGGCTGCCTTGTTTGCAAGATTTACAACATGGTTCTTCATGGTTAGTTTGGAGTCAAATTTCACCCCAAGGATATCAACTTCTTCTCCAGGTGCCAACACCCTCCCATTCATCCTTACTACTGCACCAGCATTACCATCATGGTGCCTAGAGACGATCATCATTTGCGTTTTCTCAGGTGCAAATGTTACTTGCCATCTATTTCCCCAAGCTGATATAGCTCTCAGCTGGTGATTGATGTAGCTTAGAGCAGCTGGCATTTCTTCTCTTGGATAAGTGAATGTCAGTGTACAGTCGTCTGCATATGCATGTGATTCTGGGATGAGATGAAGAATGTCGTTGAAGTAGAAATTCCATAACAATGGACCCAGCACGCTTCCTTGTGGAACACTTGCCCCAATAGGATGTCTTGCTGATTCCGTTCCATTGAGAACTACACTTAGAGATCTACCATGAAGGTAATCACTGAGGAGACATAGCGTAGAGCCTGCAATTCCCAGTGCTTGAAGTTTTGCTAAGAGGCCCTGGTGCCACACCCGGTCGAAAGCGCCAGCAATGTCCAGTGCTACCACACAGCTGACTTTGGATTCATGCAGTGACTGGTGCCACTTAGTGGAGAGGTTTAACAACAGATCAGCAGCAGAGTAACCTTTCCTGAAGCCATATTGGCGATCACAAAGTATTGAGTGGTAGTCAAAAAACTCTGTCATTTGTCTTGAGATTATTGTCTCAAGGATCTTACTAGTGATTGACAGGAGTGACACTGGTCTGTAGTTGCTGATTTCTGCTCTGCTCTTCTTTTTGTGAACAGGGACTACATTTGCCTCTTTCCATAGAGAGGGTCATTTACACTGTACTAGGCAGTGCTGAAAGATGCAAGTTAGAGGTGCTGCTAGCTGGTCTGCACATCTTCTCAACAATCTCGGGCTCAACTTGTCTGGGCCCACAGCCTTTTGTTGGTCAAGCGATTTAAGAAGGAAATGCACCTCCTCCTGCCTTATTGTCACCTGGAGTTTACCTGGAGAGAGTTCCGGGGGTCAACGCCCCCACGGCCCGGTCTGTGACCAGGCCTCCTGGTGGATCAGAGCCTGATCAACCAGGCTGTTGCTGCTGGCTGCACGCAAACCAACGTACGAGCCACAGCCCGGCTGATCAGGAACTGACTTTAGATGCTTGTCCAGTGCCAGCTTGAAGACTGCCAGGGGTCTGTTGGTAATCCCCCTTATGTGTGCTGGGAGGCAGTTGAACAGTCTCGGGCCCTGACACTTATTGTATGGCTCTTAACCGTGCTAGTGACACCCCCTGCTTTCATTGGGGGATGGTGCTATCGTCTTGCCAAGTCTTTTGCTTTTCTAGTGAGTGATATTCGATGTGCAAGTTCGGTCCTAGTCCCTTAGATTTTCCAGGTGTATATAATCAGTATCTCTCCTCCGCGTTCCAGGGAAAGAAGGTTTAGGAATCAAGCGCTCCCAGTAATTGTGGTGTTTTTTCTCGTTATGCGCGCCGTGAAAGTTTCTCTGAAATTTTCTAGGTCGGCCAATTTCACACTGCCTTGAAAGGTGCTGTTAGTGTGCAGCAATATTCCAGCCTGATTAGTAAGTGGACTGAAGGAGTGTCATCATGGGGATTGGCCTCCCCTAGTTTGATGGTTCTCTTATCCATCCTGTCATTTTTTGCAGATGCGATTGATAACAATGTTATGGTCCGTGAAGGTGAGATCCTCCGACTTGATCACTCCCAGGGTCTTTGACGTTGGTGTTTCGCTCGATTTTGTGGCCAGAATTTGTTTTGTACTATGATGAAGATTAATTTCTCATGTTTACATATCCCCGACAGTTTTTGACACAGTTCTTGCAGATAGCCAAGGGGGTCCTCTGTGGATCTGGAACTTGCATTTTGGTAGCAAAGTGTTCAGCAAAGAGGATCGCCTTCTCTGACTACTAGTAGAGGTGCGTCCCATTTCCTGTCGGATTTAGGGGAGGAATGAGCTCCATTCAGGCAGATAACCTATGTCTGTCTTGACAGGGACCACAAGGTTTGGAGCCTACCTACCTGATGCTAGCTTTCTTTTAGGTGTTCACCTCCCAGAGAGCAAATGGCCCACTTTTGAATGTCACCCTTATGCTACTGGCTTGCGTGTTGCAAGTTCCTGTTATAGGTGGTAGGATGCTCTCTTATACCTTCGCCATGCTTTGTCACTTAGCAGTAGCAGCTCTCTACAATGAAGCTAACCAGGCAGATCTGTAGGCTTTTGTTTCTTTTTCATATGGCGGTGAGGAATAGGTCTTGTTGTAGATTAAGGTGTGTCAAGTGAAGGCTTTCATTGGTTGACAACATCCCCTTGGAGAAAGAGGCATTCCAATCGGTGGGGGCGAGGGGAGCTCAGAGCGAGGGCTGCCAATTACTTCTGTTCCCATAGCAGGTTGTGCTGTAGTGGACTCCTCACCTCGTTCTGTTGGGATCTTAAGTGTCGTAAAAAAAAACAGCCTTGTGGTCAGAAGATCAACGTAGCTGAGGGGTTGACAAAGTATGACTAAGCCTTCTGCCCAGATCCACTCACTACTGGGTCAACGAGGAGCCAGAGATATGAGTAGGGAAATTCAGCAAAGTTCTATGTCAAACATCTGCAAGAAGGTATCAATGTACCTCGGTATAGGTGCTGGTTAGGTCACTAACAATTATAATATGTTGACACAGTTGTGTTGTGCGAAAGGAGTCATATTTTCCTATTAGGATGTTGATTGGGGTCTGCATGTTGCCACTGAGGTCTGTAACATTGACACAAGCTAGTACCAGAAGGTATAGTGTTTATACAGAGCTTGTAGAAAATCATTTCATAGAGTGCAGGGGTGGCAACATCAATGATGCTGGGCATGAACACTTTTAGAGAAGCACAACAGCAAACACCTCCTCCTTGCCTTGCTGTCTCTTCTCATCCATGAGGTGTAGCCAGCAATTCTTGCAAAAAAATTTTTCAGGAGTCCTGTCATCCAAAAAATGTTTCAACAACAGCTATCATGTTCGGGACGTTCGCGTGTCCACAGAAACTATGTGTGAGCTCTTCCAACATTAGTAATGAAACCTTATGTGGCGGACAGGATGCTGAAGACTGGCTCTATGATGAAAATGGTCAGCTTGGGTGGTGGGGTGTGTAGGGAATGTAAGGTGCCTGCCTTGAGAGAGGTAGGGTGTACTGAGCAGCTGCAGGGATGTAGGTCGTGGTCTTGTATAAGGCACAATACCACCTGCTGGGCTGGGATAGGAGTAGCTAAGTGTGGTGAAGTGTGAGTTTGTTCACCAATTCAGAGATCCTGTGGTTTGTTCTGAGAACAGGTCTCTAACTGGTGGCCCTGTCTGTCAAGTTCCTTTTTCTTTCCGACACTGGTACTTCCTGATGTCCTGCTTGTAGCATGTAATTACACCGGGTATTCTCGCCAGGCAGTTGTAGGGCCAGTGTGCCCTTCCGGTGACAAGCGAGAGCACGCCTAGGTGCTGGGAGGGTGGACTAGGATTTGTTGACCTCGTTGTGTTTTGCAGATTTGTCCTCAGAATTCTGCCGCTGGAAATGTGTTAGTGGAGGGTGAGACGGCTGTAGATGTCTCCTCTCCACATTCTCTTCCACGGTCTCTGCCCCGTCTCTACCTGTTCTGACAGATGTTGTCCCTTGCTGCTGTTCGTACTTGGGCTCTCTCTCTCTCTCTCTCTCTCTCTCTGCTCTCTCCCTCTCTATCTCTCTCTCTCTCCTCTTCTCCTCTCTCCTTCTCTCTCCTGCTCTCTCTTCTCGCCTTTCTCTCTCTCTCTCTCCTCCTCTACTCTCTCTCCTCTCTCTCTCTCTCTACTCTCTCTCTCCTAT